AGTGAATCGGCTCGGGGTGATTCGGAGTCATAAATATCAATTAATAATTAAATTTTAATTATAATTTCGTAAATTATAGATCTATATTTGTCTATTAATAGAGTCAAACTAATAATACTTTATAATTTTCAAATGGGTTTTTATTTGATCGAATTGAACTACGAAGGTGGTTTAGGATGACGTGATTATGACTGAATATATAATGTATAGTTACTTAATATATTTAAAATATAAAAAAAAAACTTATTCTCGATTGTTGTAGTTGATATCTGTAGTAGTCGAATATTATTTTTGTGAATTAATTAGCATACTAATAAAGTAATTAAGATAAACAAGTTATTATTTAGCAATAATCGTTGAAAATGAAGGATAATTAACATTAACATAAAGAAAAAAGTACTTTGAGATTACAATTTTGTGGCACATCCCTTTTACCCTATTAAAGTAGAAAACAGGATGTTGATGTGGCAATTTTGTATTAAAATGTTTTGGCTCCAAATGCACCATATTACATAAACTATTCTGCCACGTGTCACCCCCTTTTAAAGACAAAAAATATATTTACAATATTAACGAAGAGATTAGATGGCCATGTTCATTTAAATTTTGAATTTGACAGTGAATAGAACTTTCTTTCTCCACTTATTTAAGACTTTCGAAAAAATTAATTTTTGGTCAATCAATTATCTTCATCAAAAACTAAATTCATTCCTAATTAGATTTGATTATTTACATATCAATTTATTAGGTGGAAGGATGCCCCCGGGCATTTGCCCGGGACAAGTTAGAGTTATAATATAAATTTTCCTTCAAATGACCGAAGTTAAATTGTGAAGCGTTGTTTTATTTTTTTTAAAAAAATGATATTTCAAAATAGTGTTATCTGTGAGGACTAAGATATCAAATTAATAATTAACAAAAAAAATATTGAAAGTTGTAGGCCATTTTTGAACAAAAAGATAAAAAGTTGGTCTTGGAATTCATGGAAAAATGTGAAAAATTTTAGTCAAAAATTCAAAAAATTAAAACCCCAGGTCGATCCGGGTTTAGCCGATTTCCAGTTCGACGGGATTTTGCGCACAAATTCCTTTTTGGCGAGTTTATGCCTTCCTCGAATTGGTTTAAGCTCCGAATTCTGATCTAATTTGTTTAACCAGTCAATTCGAATTGCGAGTTTAACAACCATGCATTTCATTGAAGGCGGTTGACGAGTCCGTAACCACCGAGGATTACTCAACCGCCCTACCTTCCGATGATGGTCCAACCGACTCTACAAGAAGCGGTTCTGGAACATGAAACTTAATAGGATTCGACATCCCTCAAGGTAATTCCATGCCTATAAATAGGATGAGCCACACCAAAATACGGGTACGCTATCTCTAGCACAATACACTAAGTTACATCGTTTCTTAAATCCTATTTCTGACTTAAGTATTAGAGTATCTACCATTGGAACATCCCTGAGGCTCTCTTTTGCAGGAAACCCTAATCGGAGTTCCGATGTTAAACCGGCAGTGCAAATCCAAGCTTCGTCAAGTGGCACGCCCGGTGGGACCCGAAAACTAGGATTTGTGTCACAAGATTTCTCAAACTTCTAAGACCTCTATAGCTTCGTTACCGCTGTTGAAAATAGGATTTTCACCCAAACCCAATGGCAGTAACCGACAAATCCTAGTGCAGTACGGCATCAACAGGGAGACGACCAAGCCCTGATGACGACGAGACCTTGGCTAAGTTCCAGGAGACTCAAAGGCAATGGAAGAATAACCGTCAATTAAGGAGGGAAAAACCCCCCACAGAAGAGAGAGAGGGAAATCCCAGCAACTATCATTTCTCCGTTCCACGAAACAACGGACGGTTGGCTGAGATCGAGACAGAATTCAAGAAGTTGAAAGATGACAACGACCTTAATCAAAGGAAGAAGAGATACATATTAGAAGAATACAAACTCCCATTCAGGCAGTCACACTATTCAGTGAAGAAGACATACTTTTTTAATTAGCCTTTATGATCACGTCTAAACACGCCATTCTTATTTCTCTCCGAGCTGGACTAGCACAATATTTTTCTTTTATTATTCTCTACTGGTATAAAGCATTTTGTAGCGCTAAAAGACGGTATTAGAATTTTAGAATCCTGTAATTAAAAAAAAAAAGAATTTTAGAATCCTAAACTTCAATTACCTAAAAGCAATAGAAGCTTCTTAGAAGGTTGGAAGAGAAATCGCAGAATCAAAATCTTGATCTAATAATCGCATACAGGTTTGTCGAGAATATAACTCAAGTATGATATTATTGTACGGTAAATCAGGGTAAATCGATAATAGAAGTTAAAAAGTGAAGAAGATTGGAAGATGGGGTCTATCTACAACAATAACAAAATCAATGTATGTGGGGGCAACATTTGCAATATTTTTGGATCGGTGTATTATGCATGTTTCCTAATTTCTTCCTACTTTTTTTGCGGTCTAACAATCAGAATCCGAGACCCAAACTGATTCACCACGTACCTATATTATTGCCTAATTGGTATGTGATTATATATATAAACTCCTCTCCCTCCCCCTCTGTTTTGTTTCATACGATACACAGATCAAAAAAGACCCACCTTTAATTTTCTCTCCGGTGGATTCAACAGATCAAAAAGACCCCATCTTTAATTTCTCTCCGGTGGATTCAACAGATCAAAAGGGACCCCATCCTTTGTCCGGCAATCAAGAATGAATTCCAACGGTGTCGGATTCAGCAGGGATCCGAAGGACTACCCGGACGAGCCAGCGATGAAAGCCGATCTTCAGTTCCCTGTTCATAAACTCTGTAACTTAATCGTGGGCGGTGGATACAGCGAAAAAGTTAGTCACCCGGCTCCCGTCTTCCTCTCCGCCGTTCTGCAATACATCACGGCTGAGGTTCTAGAACTTGCTGGAAAAGCAGCCAAGGAGGAGAACCGGCCTTTTATTCAGCCCAGTCATATCAAGCAGGCCATCACCAGCGATGAGGGGTTGAACCAGCTTTTGGGTGAGCTTTTTGAGCCTGCTGCGATGGACTTCAATGTCGAGGTTGTGGCCAGTCTTTTGGCGGCTTCAACTATTGCAGATAATCATATGTCAGAGTAATCATATGTCAGAGTAAACAAGGCTGGCCAAGGGAAAGGCGTCGTCGGCCTAGCATCTTTAACTGTAGTTTTTAGGGGGGTCTCTCTCTTTCATTGTAATGGAATGCCTTTCTTTGAATATTTCGAAAGTAAATTAGGGGATGTGTTCTAGGCATATTTATGTCCTCTGGGAATTCTGGACTGGATGCTTTGTGTTGATGATGAATTGATGATAGCTGATTATTGAGAAGCGTGTCCCATTTTAATTAACTGTTCATTCCTTTCTTTATAAATTTATTATGCCTTACGTCCTGAAATGATAGTCCGAAATTATCGTCCTAAAATGTTCACTCACGATTGTGATTTTTGTCAATGAACTGAAATTATTGTGATTATAATTGTTTGGGTCCTTAAATTTATTCATGTGAGTATAATGGTGATAACCTGGTAATGTTGTTGTTGGCATAAAGGAGGAGATGAAATGTGGCCGGCCGCTGCTTGATTGGATGCGGTAGGGTCTATCATGGGGAAATTTTTGCGGGGTGCCTAAAATGAATATTAACTGTTTGATTGTTGGTCTGAAAGAATTGGAGTGCTTAAAAAGCATGATGCAGACCAATATCCTTTGAGAATTTTGTGGTGGAGGGAATACAAGTGACGCAGTATCATTATTGGTTTGAACTTGCCTATCCTCTTACTTGGAATGGAGAAAATACATGAAGGCTATAAATAACACTTGTGCTACCCAAAGACTGCATTTGGGGGGTGTTTTGGGTGAAGAATCATTGCTTGATATTGAAAAAAAAAATAGTTCTTCCACTTTCGAATGGATGGACATGAAAAGAGGCATAACTTCGTTTTTGTAGATTTTGAAGATGCTGTAACACATAATTTTGAAGATGCATGGACGCCCACGATTAAGTTACAGAGTTTATGAACAGGGAACTGAAGATCGGCTTTCATCGCTGGCTCGTCCGGGTAGTCCTTCGGATCCCTGCCGAATCCGACACCGTTGGAATTCATTCTTGATTGCCGGACAAAGGATGGGGTCCCTTTTGATCTGTTGAATCCACCGGAGAGAAATTAAAGATGGGGTCTTTTTGATCTGTTGAATCCACCGGAGAGAAAATTAAAGATGGGTTTGTTTGATCTGTGTATCGTATGAAACAAAACAGAGGGGGAGGGAGAGGAGTTTACATATATAATCACATACCAATTAGGCAATAATATAGGTACGTGGTGAATCAATCAGTTTGGGTCTCGGATTCTGATTGGTTAGACCGCAAAAAAAGTAGGAAGAAATTAGGAAACATGCATAATACACCGACCCAAAAATATTGCAAATGTTGCCCCCACATACATTTGATTTTGTTATTGTTGTATATACACCCCATCTTCCAATCTTCTTCACTACTAGTTTTTAAGAACTTGTACTACTATTTTTTCTGATTTGTTACCGTAATATCATACTTGAGTTGTATCTTCAAACTCTTTCACCTCCTTAGCATTGGAATATTTAATTTGGAGTATTAATATTCCCATAAACAGATATTGTAAAGTTCTTAGAACCAAGGTGGACAATACCTTAAGGCATAAAGTTTTGGCAGATTTGGTCTCAAAAATGACTCTTGTACCTTGAGACTCAACTGTAGTAAAAAGTAAGTTTGGAATCACAGACTCGAACGGATTTAGTTCTTCATGAAATTTGCAGCAGGTAGAGAGTTTCATGTTTATCACACTTTCTAAAACAACAACATTTATGCCGATATACTAGCAAACATGGCAGTATTTGCTTAGTGATAGTGTCCCACATCATTAGCATGTTATTAGAAGGGGATGCCAAATAGCATCTCTGAAGCTTGGATAAGCTCAGGTTCTCTGAGTTCTTGCAAACATTAAACAAACAAGCATAAAATAAATTAAAAAAAAAGGCAGAATTCACAAATTCGATCACGATCTTGTCACTATGAAGTATGAACACTACCAAACAGAAGTACTGAATAGAAAAAGTTATATACACACATTTGAAGGGACAAGTCTCATTGTCTCAAAAGATGGCCCATGCATAGAAGTTGAGACCATCTACATAATTACATGAGTTTGTCTTTAGCCACCCTGAGCTTCTTTTCTTGTGGCATCACGAAGCTCTGATGAAGCAAATCCTCACTGAAAGCAGCCAAATGAATACAATGATGAGTCCATAATTCCAGCATGGACTATGGTATGAAGTCTAGAATTCCCACGATACAAAAACAGAGGGCATAAATAACTAAAGGGGAGAAATACACCCCCATAATTTACTTTGGAAATTCAAAGAAAGGCCTTCCATTATACTGAGAGGGAAACCTCTAAGAACTAGGGTTAAGATGCTGAGCCGACGACGCCTTTCCCTCGTTGTTACTCTGACATACACATGCTGTCATCGTCATCAATAGTAACAGCCGCCGCAAAAAGCTTGCCCAACCACTCTGCATTGTGGTTCCTAGAAGCAGGCTCATAAAGCTACAAAAGCAGAAGAACAAATCAGACATCCAAACCATATCAAAAAAAAATATATAAAAAAAAAGATCCCTAATTAAACAACCAACCAAGAAACGAACCGAGAATCCAATTCAAAGAAGTGGCATTTATATATAATAATATCACGGGTACGTACCTCACCCAAAAGCTTGTTCAAACCCTCATCGCTCCTAATGGCACGCTTGATGTGACTTGGCATAATAGTAGTCTTGTTGTCGGCCTTGGCTATGTTTCCAGCAACTTCCATAACCTACATAACACAACCGCCACAAAACAGAATCAAATCAAAAGTCCAGAACCATTTAATCAAGAAAAAAAAAAAACTTATTGGTTACAAAATTAAGCTAATAATAACCACACTGTTTAACAATCCTCAATCTTTATAACAGTCACAGAAGCAAAATACTAGTAAGAATTCATATAATAAATAAAACAGGAAAATCACCTCAGCCGCGATGTATTGGAGAACGGCGGAGAGGAAGACGGGAGCCGGGCGACTAACTTTTTCGCTGTATTCGCCGCCCACCAGTAAACTACAGAACATATGAACTGGGAACTGAAGATCAGCTTTCATTGCTGGTTCGTCCGGGTAGTCGGCAAGGCTCTTGCCACTGTCAGTATTCATTCTGGATCGCCGGAGAAAGGAGGGATCTTTTTGATCTGATGAGTGTACCGGAGAGGAAATTAAAGATGGGGTCTTTTTTTGATCCGTGAATGTGTATTTCGGTATGGAATAAAAACAGAGAGAGGGGTTTGATTTGGGAGTATTTATATAGACCACAGGCAAAAGAGGTGCGGATGAATTAGTTGGGGGTTTCCTCTTCTGATTGGTTCAGACTGGCAAAAGTAGGACAAAATTAGGAAAAGGACCACAAATATTACTATTTATTTATTTATTATTGTAGACCCCATCTTTCCATCTTTTTCACTTTTTAACTTCTGCTAGTATTTTTTTTTTTTTTTTCCTTCCTGATTTGTTACCGTGGGTAATATCATACTTGAGTTTTAACCTTAGCACTGCAATGTTCAATTTTGGAGTATCAACTGCATCCCATAAACAGAGATGGCAAAGCTCCTTGAAACGAAGGTACATTAAGCAAAAAAAGTTTTTGGCAGAATTCACATACACTGTCGCAATCTTGCCACTATCAGCACTACCAAAAAAAGTAATGAATCGAAAAAGTTTCAGATACACATTTAAATCGAACATGTCACCGAAGATGGCTACCAGTTGAGACCATCAACATACAAGTCTGTCTTTAGTCACCCCGAGCTTCTCTTCTCGTGGCATCATGAAGCAGATCAATGTCGGCTCCTTCTGGCGGTAACTGGACATATCTTACAACTGACCCTCAAATGAAGCAATTCCTCACTGAAAGCTGCCAAATGAAAACAGCCATCAGCCCATATTTCCAGCATTGCGAGAAGGAAAGTTTTTGGATACACAAATATTCAAGATGAGCGAATACAGAGACCTAGGAGCCATTGAAATAACAACAAAGAAAAACGTCTTATTTTATCCAACCTGAGCTCACATTCATTCAATAAAAGGCTTCTTCTTCTTCTTGTCGTATTAGACAGGGAAATCATTCAATAAATTCTGAACAAAAAGTTACAGATCTTTCAAACCAGTAAATCCTAAGCAAATCATCAAACACAATTCCAGAAACAAGCGTACCTTAACATCTAACCTGATAAACACGTGTTAAGGTTTTTCTTAAAGGTCACAACATACACCAAAATACAACCATCACTGACAAACCAAGACCATGAGAGTGAAACCAAATGCTAACATAATACGTGTGCATAACATATCCTATTTATCAAACACAAAACGTCCCACCAGACAAACTGTTAATTCACTCACTATTTAGTTCAGAATCAAGATTACAAGCGAGGGGCTGCAATCAGGAAGATAAGGGAACTGCTAAATGAAAGCCACTTCAAATGCAAGGTTCAACCTAAAACAATAACAGCGGAAAACAGTGGCCAAATTGCCAATACAAAGGTGTCAAGACTTAATACAGCCAACAAATGAAACCAGCAGTCCGGTTGACCAGATTAATAGATTAGTGGCTCAGGCAGCATTGCCTTAGAATAGTTTCCATTCTTCGCCACATTACTAAATGTACAAGAATGCATTCACCAGAGTGCTTCCTTAACATATACAGTATGAGATTAACATCTCAATCCCAAGCAGTTTAAAGAAGTCCGGACACCCCTAATCCTGCAAATCCAAATAGCCACTTTCTTGATTAACCTTCTTTCTGAATGAGACATTTAAAGAGACCCAAGGCCAAATAATTTGCACACAAAATCAAGCCGATGAAGAAATTTTTCACCACTTAAGCAAACCTGCAAGAATCTTTGTATGGCTTACGGTAATGCTAGAATACCATATAATATTAGAGCTTCCAAAGTGGATCATTTTTAGCACTTTTCCGGAGAATAATATATCCCCCTCAAGAGCAAGGCTACAAAGCAATGGACCTTGTGTTCCATGAACTTTAAATACATGGACTCCTTCCACATCCGGGGTGAGAAAACTGCTAATGAACTTAAATGGCATCATAATCATGAATTCCAAAAGTACATAACAAAAGAAGATTATTGCAGAAGTAGTGTGTAATGCATCTATAGTTACCATGCATAAGCTAATAAACAATTAACCCAGAAATCCACAAAATCAGCACCTACTAAAGAGAGTATACAATCGAAAATCGAGATGGATTATTAAAGCCTAAACGCCAAAAACAAAATGAAAAACTTAACCCTAAGATAGGGGGGAGGGAGGCAGAGATAGGAAGTACCATGTGGGGATAATTATCCTGATCAACAACCCGAGTGTTCTGGAGCTTGATATTGAGATACTACTGATCGACAGAGTGGAGGGTCGATGAATCTTTCTTCAGCTCCACCGTCACTTCTCTGCCCACCAAATCCTTGAAGTAGGAGAAAAACAACTACAAGAGGGGGAAAAGCTAACAAAGCATTAATACGGAAACTAGATGCTCAAAAATGGTAAGAACACAAAATATTGATTAGGGAGGTAAGAAATTTAGCATCGGAAAGAATGGGTTTGAACTGTGCTTCTGCCGGAGAATTTCAAGTTGGTAGGTGAACGGCGGCAATGAAATGAAAAGCCAGGGAGCTTGTAGCTTGTTTAGTTGCGGGTTGGGATCAATTTTGTTTTCCTTTGCTGGTAACATTCTTTCCATGGGCTATCCATCTAAAAGTTCAACTTCAAATGTAATCCAAACATTCCCAGGCTTTCTAGACCCAGCAAATTAAAGTACTTTTAATTTTCTTTCATGAAAACAATTCCTATCGTAATTTGTGAATTGTAGAATAAACAATACAATTCACAATATGTAATATGAACCTTTTTTTTTCCGGGACATATTTTTAAGGTTTTTGTTAAATTTTTCCTAACATCATAATTTAATCACCCAGTTTGATCAAAAGAAATATGGAGTACATGTGTTAGATTCTTTTGTGAAAAAAGAATTCCAATGCCACCACAAAATTTTTACCCTCTACATGGGAGCCCCTAAAACTAGTGTTGAGATGCTGAGCCGACGCCTTTCTCTCTGGCTACTCCGACATATTGTTATCTGCAATAGTTGAAGCCGCCAAAAGACTGGCCACAACCTCGACATTGAAGTCCATCGCAGCAGGCTCAAAAAGCTCACCCAAAAGCTGGTTCAACCCCTCATCGCTGGTGATGGCCTGCTTGATATGACTGGGCTGAATAAAAGGCCGGTTCTCCTCCTTGGCTGCTTTTCCAGCAAGTTCTAGAACCTCAGCCGTGATGTATTGCAGAACGGCGGAGAGGAAGACGGGAGCCGGGTGACTAACTTTTTCGCTGTATCCACCGCCCACGATCAAGTTACAGAGTTTATGAACAGGGAACTGAAGATCGGCTTTCATCGCTGGCTCGTCCGGGTAGTCCTTCGGATCCCTGCTGAATCCGACACCGTTGGAATTCATTCTTGATTGCCGGACAAAGGATGGGGTCCCTTTTGATCTGTTGAATCCACCGGAGAGAAATTAAAGATGGGGTCTTTTTGATCTGTTGAATCCACCGGAGAGAAAATTAAAGATGGGTTTGTTTGATCTGTGTATCGTATGAAACAAAACAGAGGGGGAGGGAGAGGAGTTTACATATATAATCACATACCAATTAGGCAATAATATAGGTACGTGGTGAATCAATCAGTTTGGGTCTCGGATTCTGATTGGTTAGACCGCAAAAAAAGGTAGGAAGAAATTAGGAAACATGCATAATACACCGACCCAAAAATATTGCAAATGTTTCCCCCACATACGTTTGATTTTGTTATTGTTGTGTATAGACCCCATCTTCCAATCTTCTTCACTACTATTTTTTAAATTGTACTACTATTTTTTCTGATTGTTACCGTAATATCATACTTGAGTTGTATCTTCAAACTCTTTCACCTCCTTAGCATTGGAATATTTAATTTGGAGTATCAATATTCCCATAAACAGATATTGTAAAGTTTTTACTTAGAACACGAAATACTGGCAACCTAGAAACTTTTGACTCATTCACATTTGGTTGCCAGCTAGAATACAAAAGAAGGAAAATAAGGCAAATGACACAGAAATCCCAGAATGACCCGTAAAAAAGAAAAGAAAAAACTGAAAATACTTAAGCTAAAGACAACCACATTGCCCAAACAAGGGTCACACCATACTTCCATAGTCCAGCATTCCACCAGTAATATAATGGCTCTGCCAGCATTTTGTGGTTCCTTTTGAAGTATCAACTTTCCAGTTTCCACCATATTAATTACTGAATTTACAAGGATGCAATAAACCAGACTGGTTTCCTTTGAAGTATATATGAACTTAAATTGTCCCACTTCCAAGCACATGAAGAGATCAGAAAATCCCTCGTATTAGAAATGGAAACGGCCATGTTTAGTTAAGTAACCCTTCTTGCTCAATTAGACGAAGGTGTATACTCACTTCAATGTAACTTCGATCGTCTGCTAAGTGCCCGGTAACTTAGAACAGAATATAATATTAAAACCACCTCTACAAGGTACAAAGTAGATTATCTATGGCCTTTTCCCCGAGGAATAAATAAGTCCCAAGCGCATGCACTTGGGTTGTCTTTTGATAGAATTCGAATGGAAAATTTTTGGTCTCAAATATTGTAACCATTATTAAATTGTGAAATTCCTTTGAAACATGAAAATGTGATGAACTGGACCAAGAATCAATAGTACTAATTACTTCTGGCATGAATATTGGAACGGTTGTAGACTGGAATATTGGCTACACGCTTTAGCCGGTGAATATATAGTTGATTGATGGGCAACATTTTCATGCTGGACTTGTATAAATACGTACTCATTTCAAGCAAAAATAGACATCCTATATACCCATCATTATCAATCAGCTAGCCGAGAGCGCCCTTAACCTTCTTCTCTTACTTGTATCCTCCCTTTAAAAAAAAAAAAAAAAAAACCCAAAGCAAAACCATGTCTACTTCCAGTGATGATGATCTTGATGAAGGCAAGTTCAATGGGGATAGCTCTCAAAATCCCAATCCGTTTGAGGACGACGGGTATGATTCTAATGAAGAAATTGAAGGTTACCCGGATCCACCGACTGATTCGTCCGATTCATCATCCAACTCTTCCTTCTCCTCACCATCTTCAGAGGAGGAGAAGGCAAAGGAGGATGACCCAGCAGAAAAAAGAGACCATGAAGAGTGTGTGAGTATGGAGAAAAAGTGGGAAGACGATGACGAGAAGAAGGCTGCTGCGGAGAAGAAGGAAGCAAACAAGGACGAAGAGGAGAA